GATACTAAATCTTTGGTGTTCTTGGAGATCCTTTCCTCACATCCTCAAGGAGCAAAGAAGTATCAAAAGGAAGAAAAACACAAGGAAGATCTAAGGAGCTAGGAGGTGACTTGAAGGCCCTCCACTTGGGTGAATCCTTTGTGTAAACAAGGATGAGCTTTAAAGGTAATGAATCCGAAAATCCTTTCTTCTCTTTAATGTTGTTAAAGAGTCTTGTGGTTTACCATTCACTAGGCTTTGAAAGTCATGGGTTTTAAAATTATTTTGAATGCATGCCTACTTTAAACTGTTAATAGTTTGCTTATACGTTCAAATGTTCTCACATGTTCTTAGCTAGGACAAAATTTTTCCTTCACAATGTTCCCCAAATACAATTCATGTAATGGTGGGGTTTTCAAACTTGAGCAAGTTCTTTGATCTTGGCTTGACCATAAATGAGTTATGGTACTTCTTTGAAATCGGCCTTAAGGAAGGCGTGGGGCAGCTGAGGTCTCGCCATAAGCTGCTTGATGTTTCCTGCAAAGGTGATCATGAGCAGGCGAGAGATACCTTGAAGGTAAGTAGAGAGTGGGAGTCTGACTACTCTCTTGAGTTGTATGTTCCGACCGTCTTTATTTGTGGTAAGTGAACTGCTTCATCCATAGCCTTCTTGAACTCTTTGTTGAGCTGCTTCATGACTTCAGTTTATTGATCGTATTTCTTACTTTGTATAGATTCGAAATTTGGCTTAACTCTAAGAACTTCGGCATATATGAAGAAAGTGCACATCGCCTTGGGCATTCCTGTTGAGTATCGTGAGTGGCGCTGGCTGCTCAGTCATCTTCGTCAGGAGAAAGGCGAGATGCCTTCTAAAGAAGAGATAAAGCGAATAAAGGATGAGGCACTTGTGATCACTACTGTAGAGCCTGCTGCTAGTGAAGGTGGAAAGAAGAGATCTTCTTCACCCACTTGTAAGCCTTTGACCGAGAAGAAGCCAAACACTTCTTCTGCTGCTCGTGAGGGCTCAGCTACTATTGAAAAGCTTGTCATCGATCTGACTTCTCCCAAAGGGACGAAAAGATTGTTGAGTCTCAGCCTGTTAAACCAGCAGCTATGAAGGTAGCCACGACCATTGCTGAGAGGATTGCTCAGTGGAAAGGTTCGGTTATGCCCCCGATGTCTGGGTTTGTGTCGAAGCGCGTGTCAGGAGCTATGTCTGGTTTGGCTTCTAAGAGGCTCGCCGTTATGAAGAGCAGGAAGATGGATTATGCTGCTAAGGTAGCATCTGGGGCTGTTCCTTATTCTGTCGCAACTGATTCATCTGCTGAGAAAGAAAAGTCTACTCGCACGAGCAGTTGTTAGAGATCCACCAAGTCTAAGGTTGGGGAGTTTCCTGAGATTTGTACACTACTAAAGGCTGACCTGCTTAAGGACGTTAATGCATGAGCCAAGTTTGTTGATAGTGTTGGGAAAGTTGTTCGCTCAGACTCTTTTGTGAAGCGTCTTGCCTACTCGAGGAGGTCGTCCCTGATTGCTACAATGCATAAGACTTTGATCCTGTCTGCTGAGTCTATGTACGTCGATCAGGATGTTGTCAAGTATGCTAAGGAGGTCGAAGTGGCGTTGATGGCTCAACTTTGCTCGACTGCTGAAAAGATTAAGAAGCTCTAATTTGAACTCGTTGTTTTGAAGGGGTCTGATGTCTCTGCCCCACTTTTATGCAACTAGAGACCGCTCATCAGGAAGTCGTCCATTTGAAGGTTAAGCTTAATGCAACTTAGGCGATGTTGGAAGCTGCAGAGAATGAAGTTAGTCATGTTGCATCGATGGTTAAGGACTTTGAGTGTGTCAATTCGAAGCTATGATATGCTTGTTTTGCCAAGGATGAGGAGCTTGTCTTCATGCATGCTGAAGTGTCTCGTCTTAAGGATGTTGCTAGTAAGCTTGAGTCCAAGAAGGTGGATTTGCAAGGTATGTAGTCTGCTAGCGAGAACCTGAAAAAAGAATTGGGTAAGCTGCAGGACGCTCATACTGGGCTTGTTGAGGAGAATATGCAGCTAAAGAATGAGAAGGTCGGTCGTGAAGTGGCGCTTGCTTCTTGTCAGGTCGATTTCTACAAGCTTGGCTATGTAAACCATCTTTAAGGCAGGGCGTCGAATTATGAGTTTTTTTAGAAAGACTTCGAGATTTTCTCCATTTTCAGTTGATCTGCTTGACTTTTCGTTTGAGGCTACCTTTGGTGGAGCAGCTGAGGGTTAGGTAGTCCAAGCAAAGGCGGCTAAGGATGAGCTGATGGAAGCTTTTAGCTACTAAGAGTGGTGTGGCTAATTGAGGCTTGTCAGTTGAGGACCAGTGGTTGCGCAAGCTGCCGATGAGTCGTCTTTTGCTTAGACTTAAGAATTTTCTTATTTTCCTTTTCATTCTGATTTATTTGAACTTTGTTGGCCTTCGAGCCGATTTATTAACTTGCTAGAAATTTAATAAACAGTTTCCCTTGCTTTGCTTCATCTTTCTATTTTGCCATATCTTTTGTAAAACTTTACCGTAGGATGGGTGGCTGGATGAGCAGCTATAATGAAGTACTCGATCCCACATCGTAATGTAGGCTTTAGTTTTGACTTTGATGCTCAAGGAGCTTTACCTGTATGAGGAAAAAATGCAAGATTTCTAACTTATAGAGCTGGCGGTTGAACTCGTAGCCTTTGAATGAAGCAGGCGAGTCTGCGTAGCTGCTATAGTCGTGAATCTCAGCTTCGGCAACTGTATGAGCCTTGGCCTTTTTAGAGCATGTTGTGAAATTTTTAACTTATAGAGCCAGCAGCCGGACATGTGCTTCTCATAGAAAGCAGAGGAGTTCACGTAGCAAAGAAGTTCGCGTAGTTGCTATAGTCGTACATTTTGGCTTTAACGGCTGCAAGAGCCTTGGCCCTCCTAGGGCATGTTGCGAAATTTTTAACTTATAGAGTCAACGGCTGGACACGTGTTTCTCGTAGAAAGTAAAGGAATTTGCGTAGCTGCTATAGTTGTTCATTTCGACTTTAGCTTTTGCAAGAATTAAACCGTAGACCATCGGCCGGAGGCACTGCTTTTTAAATAAGAAAAAGGGTCTGCATAGTCATAGTAGGTATGAGTCTCGGCTTACAGATTGCTTAGGGCTGCCAGCTATTAGGTCGTCGGCCGGGCATCTTACTTACCAAAGAAGACGACCCGCGAGACTATTTTAGAAGTCGTCCTTAGCTCTCAGAGGCGTTTCAGGCTTAAGGTGTTGGCAAAATCGTGCTTCAAAGGCCATATCCTTCCGAGCTGCTAGTCCTTTGATCTTTTAAGCTGTACGTATCTCGATACGAATCTCTAAGGCATAATGTTGTAACTTGATTCCGCATGTCGCTTAACTAGTATTGCAACATTTTATAGCCGAGTTACGTTTATGAAGACTTGCACGTCGAGGAAAAACCATCTAGTCACGCGAATTCTTTCATGGGCAGGGATCCTGCAATTAGCGTCTCTTTCAGTTAGAGACCTGGGCTCCTGTGGAATTGAATCATTCAGTCGGTTAGGTCTTTTTAGGAAAAAAATTGATTGTGGTCAATTATGGGAGCAGTCCGGCACAAGTAGTCGATTTATTCAGGGGAAACCGAGTAGTCATAAAACCCATCCACGTCTGGATATCCCGAATCAGTTTACCCTCTCCTGATGTCACACATCATGTTTGCAAGGGCAGAGGCATCTTCTGCTTTGGCAGGGGTGGTCAGCTTATTTATGCATTCGGCCCAGGCTTGTGAATAATTCCTTCAATCTTCATTGAAAATAGAGAAATGTATTAACTTTGCTTGTAGGTAGTAATAGCATAACAACTGATAGTCATTGGCATGTAAGGTCTTGTTCGTCGAGCTACTTAAGTCTTCGAACTTTATTTGTCTTGAATAGGGTCCAAGGTATGGTGGGAGGACACACGTAGTACTTTCTTAGGTTGTAGGCATTCCACTATTTTCAATCTCTTTGTTGCTCATAGTGGTAAGGGTGTAGCTGCCATTTTCTCCTACTTAGGCTGATTTTGTACGGACCTTCCCAGATGGAAGCCATCTTTTTAGAACCTTCTCGGCGGGCGATTATGAAAGCTTTCCCGATGGGCAGTTATGAAAGCCTTTCATGTCTAGGATTGCTCTGATTTACCTTGGATGAGCTTCGATTCCTCACTGCGGTACAAGGTACCTTAAGAATAGGCCTGAGGAGATGTCGAAAGTGCACTTGGCTAGGTTGAGCTTCGTTTTGTACTTTCGAAGGATGTCAAAAGTCACTACCAAGTTGCCAATGTGGTCTGACCAATGCTTGCCTTTCACCATGATATCGTCGACGTAGACCTCCATTGTTACTTTGATTTCCTTTTTAAACATCGTGTTTATGAGTCGTTGGTAGGTTGCTCTTGCTTTCTTGAGGCCAAAGGGCATGACCTTGTAGCAGTATACGCCTCGCTCGATCTCGAATATGGTTTTCTCCTTGTTAGGCTCGTGCATGGCAATCTAATTATGGCCTAAGTATGCATTGGCCTGAGTATACGTCCAAGAAGCTGAGTAGCTAGTTCCCGGATGTTAAGTCAACGAGCAGGTCAATTTGGGGAACTGGGTAGTTGTCTTTAGGGCACTCTTTGTTGAAGTCGGTGTAATTCATCGAGCTCAGATTTGAGCAAACCCTAGTTATCTTTTTTAACTGGTGGGGGTCAAGAATGATGTGCTCGGCGTCTTCTTCGGGTTTCCATCTTGATTCATCTTCCAGGACATTGTCGACCTTGATGCCATCTTCCTCACCCACCTGCTGTGATTGCTATTTGAAGGAGGTAGGATTATCTTTCTACACTTCAGTTGCTACTACTAGGGCGAACGAATTCTTCTTCTACTCCTTGAGAACTTGTATAGTGCATCGCTGAGACATGGCCTGGTCACCTTTGATCTCTTCAACTGCTCATCTAGGGATGCGAAATTAGATCTTTTGATATTCGATCGAGGACATAACTCTAATCTTCACTACCCAAGGTCGGCCCAATATCTGGTATAGGGAGATGGGTCGCTGATGATCATGAAGGTCTGTGATGAGATAATTAAGGGGTTGGTTACGTCGAGCGTGATTGTGCCAATGATAATTGAGGTAAGTTCGTTGAATCCGGTCAAGACCTCTGCTTTGCGTTTGATAGTATTTTCCAAGTCTATCTTCTGGATGACTGATAGTTGTAGGATATTGATTGAGCTGTCATTGTCCACCATAATTCTGTCAACGATGGTGTGGGCTAGTTGAGCAGAAATCACTAAGGCGTCATTGTGGGGAAAGTCTTCTCCCTCAGCGTTTTGCTTGGTGAAGCCGACGATTGGTCCAGGTACAGCATCTATGGTTTGAACCTGAAAGACCGATCTCGTCTGCTGGATCTTCCTTTTCTTGGAATTGTTGATAGCCCCAAGATGCTCAAATTCGGCATCGACGTCTGTTTCTCGCCTTGGTCGGGCAACTGGCCTATCAACATACTGGTCGCACTTGCCTTCCTTCACGATCTTCTCAAAGTACTTTATCCAGGTGATGCAGTCATTGGTTTCATGCCCCGAACCTCTGTGGAATGCACAGTACCTCGTCTGGTCCATGTTGGAGGTGTCTCCTCTTGTGGGTTGTGGCATCTTGAACCATGGCTTGTCCTTAAGGTTGCGAAGGATCTGGTTGATCGAGAGTGAGAACTTGGTGTACGTTTTGGGTGCTGAACCTCCATTTGCCAGGGATCGGTCCCTGCATCTGCTTCCTGGCTTGTTTTTAATATTTAACGGTTTAACGCCTCCTTCTTCTGAGCTAGTTTTGCATCTTTGCGCGACTTTTCAATCAACTTCAGTAAGTGTTTGGCCTCATTCTAGAGGGATTGACTTTATGCCAAAGTATAAGAATCTGGCAGGGTCAAGTTATCGCCCATGATTAGCTCTCCGAAAAGTGGGTGATATGTTGGGAGTCCCTTCTAAAAAGCTGAGCTTGCAATGTTGTCATCGCATCCTACAATCTTTGTTTTCTCTACCTTGAACCACTTGACGCATGTGCGAAGTGACTCATTCGGGTCATTCTTCATGTTGAAGAGGTGTTCAGACTTCTTCTTGATCTAGCGATAGGACAAATATTCTTTAGTGAAAACCAAGGAAAGTTCGCAGAAGTTTAGGATTGATTGCGGCGGCAGGGTGTGGAACCAGTCTTTCTGCAGTAGGTTGGGCCTCTTGCCCTGGGCTTGTTGTGGCAACTGCCACGTTGTGGGCCTCCTGCCCTTGGGTCGTGGGCTCATCTGTAGCATGATGGGCCGTTACAGCACACGTTTGGGCTTTAGCTTGGGCTGCTACTGCTGCTGCCTCGATGGTCCTTACCGTGGGCTGTAAGGTGCTGGTTGCGGCGGTAGGGCTTCTCTTGCCGTTGCTTTAAGTCTTGAGGACCGCCGTTGTGGGGCTATGTCCTCGTCTCCACTCTTTGGTCCAAATCCTTGTACGTACGGGGTTCCGTTCGTTGTGGTTTCTGAATTTCCTATCATTGTATCCTTTCTCTATGGACTGATCAATAAACTTTTCTAGGAAAAATTAATTGATACGACGTGTGAGAAATTCAACTTAGCAGAAAATTCAAGAAACCAAATGCAAGAGGCTGTTTCGAGTATTTGAATCAGCTCTCAATGAAAGCACCAATTTGTCGATGCAAACTTTTGCTGTCTCTAGCTTTGACAAAAATGCACCTGCAAAACAATCAACATATTTGATCAAGGACCTAAGTCTCACGCGCCCACGAGGTTAGGGGGGGAAAGTTAGGCCAATGGATCTCTGATGCCTAAGTTAGTTTTTCTGGTAAGAGTAAAGTGTTTAGGGTTTTTCTTCGGGTAGCAAAAACTTACTGAAATTTGGTAGAATATGAGGTATATATATGGGAGTGGCTGGCCATGGTGTTAGGGTTTTACCCTACACATGGCGGCATCCTATTGGCCAAGGTTTCATGGAGAAATATTCTCAAGATATTAAATAGGAAATAATGTCTTGAGATAATGGAGTAATTATCCCTAATTGATTTAAATAGGGATTACTTACTTAAATGGAGTCAATCTTCAATTAAGAATGTATTAAAGATAAGATTTGGGTAATTAATCATTATCTTTAATGCTTTGACTTTTCCTTGCCAAGGGCAGATGAGTTGTGGGTAGTCGTATTTAGCTGCTGATACCTTCAACAGTGTGAGCTGCGCGTGGTAGTATCTGAGGAACATGCCCATTTATTGAAGGCAATCTTGTCTTTCTTGAGTAAAAGTCCACGTATCGTCTCTATAATTTTTTGGATTATTTTAGGCTCCACATGTATTATTGAGTTAGAAGTTAGAGCACCATAGTGACGGTGAATCCATTCATGTAGATCCTTCTCCATTCTGATATTGTTTGGTTTTCCATGATCGACTACAAACCTAGACAATGTTTATCTTTTAACTGAAATTGCAGCCTGGAGAATTGATATTATAGAATACATGTCTTGATAACTGGGAATCTTTAAAACGGAGAGATTGCTGTGGATGCTTTGTCGATATGGTAAACCATAGAATTAAGTAAATAATTGTTACATTGAAGAGTTTGGTTGGACTCAACAAGATCTACCTACCCAAATGAACCCTGTCCTCTTGAAATTGAATAAGAACTAATGTAGTTATATAATGTTAATTTGTATTTTTTTTGTATGGCAGCATGACGATGGTGGGAGATGATTTCTCTGGCCTTCTTTGCAGGAACTCGGTAACACCTCTTATATTTTCTTTGTCTGCCCTCCTGTTTGGATTCCCTTTCCATCCCCTCATATTTGTGCGGTCATGGTTAAATCACGTTAACATTTTATATTCTTATCATTTTTTTGTCTTATTATGTTTATAAAAAAATTAATATAAAATATTGATGTGGTTTAACCGTGACCACATAAAATAAGAAGGGATGTGAAGAGCACCAAACAGGAGGGCAGACAATCTGCCACCTTGTTTTCCTCTATATTATTATGATGAAGAGAGATTTTTGGGTAAGCCCCAGATGAGAAGAGGTTTTTGGGTACGGCGCTCGAATTGAGGGTGGTGTGAGAGAGTGGGTTGAGATCAAAAGTAACATGGCAAATCAAAGAGGGTAGTATACAGAGGGTTTTTTTAGAGATGAGTTGACGCTGTCTGCTGATCTTTAGAATTTCTCACTAATTAGATCATTGGTGGCCTACCATATTCTCGAATAAAGTATATACGTGATCTTAGAAATTTTTTCGTTCCCAACCACGTCTCAACATCCCTAAATTTTTATTATATTGAATTTTTCCTATCCCTAAATTATTGTTACACTGAATTTTTCCTATTTGGTTCAGTGGTAATGTTTGATGTAACTTATTTTTTCTTGTTCGAATTCGTGTCTCAAATGTTTGAATTAGGTTCATTTCAGAAAAGAAGTTTGAATTAGGTTTCTAGAGGGTGGTAGTGGGTCCTTATGTTTTCTTTTCTCTCTTTCATCTACAAAAGTGATTTCAGTGCATCATATTTTCTATTGTCCACTCTTATTAAAAAGAAATTTAAATTGGTAAATTAAAAAAAATCAAAATATAAAAGAAAAAGAAAAAGAAAAAGGGGGCATGCCGATGTTAGTCCTTCATTTAAAAACTACCATTTGAGCTTGTTCAAAAATAAAAAATAAAAAAAACCCACCATTTGAGTTTTAGGCTTTATATGAGTGTGGCTTTGTGATAAGAATTCAAATGAGATTGCGATAAGTAGGATAAGCCCACATTTGTATTAAAAATTCGAGTATGTGCGATATAAACAGTCTTTAATTATTTGTTGAATATATTCTAAGAAATTGTTAGTAGGACTTTAAAAATATATTTTTCATTTTAGTATCAAATAAAAATTTTAGAATACCAAGAACAATTTTTCTATGAAATTTTGTTTTCATGGTTTTTTATGGGTTTTTAGGTTAAGATCAATTTCAGGAGAATAGGAGTAGTTAGGAACATTTGATCGATGTGAAACCTTCTCTTACGGCAGCCTTGAACGAATTTAAGAGAATAAGGCCACATATGAACTGACACATGCCAAAGTCATGACAAATATATAGAACAAAAACTGATTGTCAATAGTATTGTGAAATCCTATGACTAAGGATGGGATCCAATTCCGGAAAACAATTCCTAGTCTTTAAATTCAGGTTCATCATGTTCCACCGCATGTTTAGACTTTATCGCAACTATTTCTTTGTTTTTATTTTAAAGCTTAGGGTGGGTAGAAGATACGGAATAACTTTGCTTTATACTTGTTTCTTCAGTATTAATTTTTGTCCCAGATGAACGATGTTGATTGAGATAGAGATTGATGATTTATGTTGAAAAAAATCATAGTTTAGTGTTTTTTTTTAACAAACGATATTATCTATACTAAAGAAAAAATGAGACAACTTTAGCCTTAAAATAAACTAGAAATAATATGGTTAAAGTTCACATTTGGTGAGAACCGAACGTAAAATCTCTCATGTACAAGTGAAGAACAAATAACTAGATCAATACTAAGTGGCGATAGTCTTAGGTATTTGTATTAGAAAAATAGTTTGAAATGATGTAATATTGACAATCACTAATAAGTGAATAGATTGAGTGCAATGATTTTTTTTTTTTTTTGAGTATATTGATATATTTACACTAAAGGGAGGGGTAGTTCGACTAAATCACACAATAGACAATCTAATTTGGTATCAAATTCGCCATCTAAGAGATTCAAACATAAAACCTCTCATTCCTAAGTAAAGAGGAATACCGCAATGAATTAGTCAATAAAAATATCTCAAAAGACGTCTTTATCGAAAATTCCAGGCAACCTTGTCGAATGTCTAGCTGTTTTACTACTACACTTAATTATGAGTAACGTGAGTATATAATTATACGTTTTTTTTTATTAGAAAACTATTATTAGCATTACACAAATTTTATTTTATACTTCTCAGAAGTGTATTTTTTTTTTTAATTTGGAGTGCAAAATAAGATTTTTGGAGTGCTAACAACAATTCCCTTTTATTATTGGAAAATATAGTTTCAAATTTAAGTATTTTTTTTTGTTTTTTTTTTTTTTGAAATAGAAGTATTACTGGACAGAAAATTAGTTAGTGGTATGTAGTTAGACTTAAGCTTGAAGCTCACTCGACAAAAAACTATTTTTTTTTAGTAGAACAATAATATATTTACACTAAGGGGAGAGGGAGTTCGCTAGGTCATAAAATGTGTAGCCTTATTTGGTATCGAATTCGCCATTCATAAGATTCGAACATAAGATCTCTCACTCACAAGTCAAGAGGAATACTACCATACCGTAGTACTGAATAACAATAGACAAAAAACTATTGAAAAATCACTAAACCATAAAGACTAATAACGAGACAATATTGTGACACATAGATACCTACGTACACTTGGAAGTGTAAGTTTACGTGACCGATATAGGAATTAAATGTGTTAGTTTGGTATAATGTTAACTCAACTCTAACGGTTTATACTTTTGAGTGCCGATAACTGTATAATATGACATCAGAGTTCTAATTTTAAGAAGTCAAAGAGTTTTTATCATCCTTGTTACTCTATGATAAGTGAATTTTATATTATATATTTAACGTTATTTTTAGTATATTTTGGTTAATATTTTGAAATTTTTTTAATACTTTAAATTATATTTTCAAAATAGGACTCTTGACTTTCTCTGGAGAAAAACGTGGTCAAATGGACGAATTTTGGAGTAATTCCAGTTGGAATACGTTCGTGAGTCACTTAGCTTGATCATATCAAAATTTGGGATTTTTCCACCAAGCGGTTATTTTCTGGCAATAAAATAAAGGAGCGATGCGTGGTACTGGAAAATGACGTTTCTGAGCTTAAATTGTGTTTTTAGAGCCAAAGATGACCTCGGATGGTTTCGTGGCATTCTGAAGATGTGTTCGGAACGTCTTTATCTTTAAAACAGGCTATCTTGGGCCGGATTTGGAGGAGATCTAAGGCTAAAACATGGCTGGACAAGTACTTGGCAGATTCTCCTAGTTTAATTAGGGTTTTATTTTCTAAGATATTTTATTATTTTTCTTAGTTTTCTAGTTAGAATAAGAAACCTAGGTCTTAGGGTTTGTAAGGGCTGGGCAAATATATTGCTTTGGCCATCTACAGTTTTTCTCTACGCTTATTATTATTCAACTTCAGAGACAAAGAACTTGGCTAGGGTTCTTGGAGATTTTATACTTTAAGATGTTTTCATTCCTTTTATTCTTAATAATATTTTCTATGATTTCAATTATGAATATGCATAACTAATTCCTTTTGCTAGGGCGAAACCTTGAGCCTTAGCATGAATATGTAATTTTTATTTAATTGCTTATGATTGATTGCATGCACACTTTGAATTATTGATCACTGTTTTTAACTATCTAATTATCTGGATGACTGGCCACCATTAGGATGTTTAGACAAGTAATTGAATGCAATTCGGTCGGAATATCACCAGAGG